ATGAATGAGCCCACATGAGTTCTACTAGTAAACACAACACCATCTTACTTCCTGTAAAACAGGAGGGAGAAAGAGCGACATGTAGAGCAACATCATCTCCCCTTCCTGTCTATGAGGATAGAAAGAAATTAAAGAGCAGGCGTACAGTATGGAGCAAAGTTGATCTAATTTATTTAAGTCAATCCGTGTGAATACCATAACTGGAGTAGACCTACTTAGGTCAAGTTCACCGTGGGAGGTTGATGGGGAGAAAAAGTGTCCCTTCAACTTCCCTTATAGAAGCGTTCACAAGAAAGTGACCAGTAGTCTATTTAGAGGGTCTTCAGTATAGCAGCTAGATCAACCCTGTAGGATCAAAGTAGCATCAATCTCCCACTAAGTGTAGACAAGCCTTAAGGCTACATAGATAAGTACAGCCTTATTGTTATAGTGAATGCACGACTCATCTAACTGAATACAACAGGCAGAGTTGTGTCCACATGCCAGCTTTTAACGCTGTATGATCTTTTAGATGCATCAACATTTACTAACTCAGGCAACCAGGCTGTCAGATCAGTGTAAGAAAATCCCCACCTGTAGTATTTTAGCAAAGATGACATTTGCACATAATGGCAGCATGAATGTGGGACAATAAACATTGGTATATTTTTTCCAGCAGGCAACTGAGAGGATGGAAGATGATCTTTACCAGTTATACACAGCTATATCCTATCTATTAGGGATGTAAAATCCTGTTTAATTGGCTAACAGATTAAACATTGTTTAACCTGTTAACCAATTAAAGAGGGGGTGAGCAGGGAGGGGCTGGAATGCCTTCTTTGTTCCTGCCACAGGCAAGGGCTGCTCTAGTCAGGCCAGAGCAACTCTTGCCTGCAAGAGGACAGGGCACTGCACAGGCAAGGGATGCTCTGGTGTCCCTATGGGAGCAGCCTAGTCTACGGCAGCCGGAGCCAGTCCCTTGCCAATTACAGGCAGGGGAGTTGCTCCAGCCCCAGTGGTTACACCTACACATTTTTGTTATCTACACTACAAAAATAGTGTTGTAAACTCTTTGCAGGACAACAGTGCAGCCCCTTTGCCTAGCTTATGGCCAAGGGAAAATATTCATAGCTTTCACAGTTTGACTGTAATGTTAATAATGCATAAACAATAACCATAGACCAGAGGTGGGCAATAATTTTTTTATTGGGGCCACTCCAAGATTTTGGAAAATGGTCAAGGGTCGCACTCTTACATGATATTAATGGAGGAGGTGTGGGGTCTGAGATGGAGGTTAAGTGCAGAAGGGAGCTTGGTGAAGAGACTGGGGTGCAGGAGGGAGAGTGGGGTCTGGGAGGGAGTTTGGATGAGGGAGGCAGTTATGATCTGGGGCACTGGACTGTACAGCTATTCATTAGATGATTTAAAGTAACTTTAATTCAGAGAAGTGGCTGAGTGGACAAATAAGGGGCAGCAGATTTTTGACCACTGAGCGCTTTTGCATATATGGATGCAGGAGGAAGACAGAGGGCTTAGGTATGTGGAATAGGGGGGGAAGGAGTGGAGGGCAGAAGGTTGGGGAAGGGAGGGTTGGGTGCCAGAGGCAGGCTCTGGCTCGACTTACTTGAGTGACTCCCAGCCAGCAGCCCAGCACATTTCTCAGGAAGGCAGTGAGCCTGCCCTACCCCCACCCAGGCTTCAGGGACATGTGCTTGTGTGAATAACTATGAGCCCAGGGGCAGAGGTGGCCCATGTGCTTCTTGTGATGCCTGTTATTCAAACAGGCAGCTCCCAGAAACCAGCTAATGGAATTGTGATGGGGCAAGGGCAGCACATGAAGCCTCCCCCCCTCCTCTCCAAGCTCACAGTTTTAAAGAGAAATGGCTCCGTAGCTGCTTTCCTGAGTGGCGTGCAGGTGGGGAAGGCATGCGGGGAGCCTGCCTGGGGCTCCCTGCAGTGTCCACAGGCCAGATCCAATGGCTGGAACCAGCCCGCGGACTGTATTTTGCCCAGGCCTGCCATAGATAGATACAATTGTATCTAATTGTAAAAACTATACATAGAGTTTAAACATTAACATATATCTTCATCCTTTTCTGCAGAAAGGGGGCAAATTTAAACACTATGGGCTAGATCTACAAAAACATTTAAATCCTCAAAATCCTTGCTTAGCTGCCACCACACACTGGACACCTAAAGTCCTTAGGTCCTGAAATGTTTATTGATAAAATTTCAAAATGCAGCTAAAAATCTGCCAATGAGCATGCATATAAATGCCACAGACCTGATGTCCAGCACCCTGTTCATGCCTAAGCCCAAGCAGAATCCTCAAGCTAGTTGTTTCTCTGCCTGTCTTAGCTTAATGCTCAGTTGGGTAAGCTGCTTTTAGAACACCAACTAGATCAGGCCCTGCACAAAACCCCAGGGAAGGAAGTGTTACAGTTCCCATCCCCACTTTGTCCAAGTGTTTAGAGCACTCATCCAGGATGTGAGAGACCCCTGTTCTATTCCCCCTTTAGCCTGAAGTTGAGTAGGAACTTGAACTTTGTTCTCTCCCTTTCTCTCAGAAGGGTGCTCAACCCTCTGGACTATCAGGGCTGGTGTTGCTTTGAAAAGGAGTGGAACAGAAATGCAGTAAGATATATTCAAATATATGCTGTCCCTGCCTCCTCATATTCCTTTTGTTAGCCATAGTGCATTTTAGGTGATTGGAGGAATAAGAAAGCTTAACTTGCCCATTTTAAATTCAGATGTGCTTCTTTGTTCCACTAAAAGATTCTCTCATTTTTATACTAGAAAGTTTGGATGAAACATGCTGAGTCACAAATAAATTATGAAAAAGGTGATTTGTGCTCATGAAGGTAGTTTCACTTGTGTCCCTAACTTCTGGTCTATTGTAATCAGACTTCACTTAAGTAGTAGAATGAGAGAATTGTATTGTAATAGTTATCAGTTTCACCATATCCTTAACTAAGCATGATCCATCAGTTGACTACCATTTGACCTGATATTTCCTCAGTAGGGCTACGTCTACACTGGCCCCTTTTCCGAAAGGGGCATGCTAATTTTACAGGTCGTAATAGGGAAATCTGCGGGGGATTTAAATATCCCCCGCGGCATTTAAATAAAAATGTCCGCCGCTTTTTTCCGGCTTTTAGAAAAGCCGGAAAAGAGCGTCTACACTGACCCCGATCCTCCGGAAAAAAGCCCTTTTCCGGAGGATCTCTTATTCCTACTGCAAATGCCCACCCAGTTTGTAGAACTAATAAATATACATCAGGCTCCCAGAGAGTTCTTAAAGGAAATCCTTTAGTTTAAATATATTTCAAATTAAATACAGTTATTGGTCACAACTGTTTTAAGTATTATTTATATCCTGTTATTTTTGTTAACCCAAGTCCCTCTTAGACAGCTTCATCTGCTTGTTTGTTTCCTTTACTGGTTATTTTTTGCCCTTTAGATTGTAATCTTCTTGAGGCAGGGTTTATCATTTTCTATAGGTTTGTACACCTCCTGCAAGAGAGCCCCATCTTGATTAGCTTCTGAATCCTATCACAGGCTATGTTAAATATTAAATAAAATATTGTTCAAACAAGGCTCAGAGAAAAAGTTTTCTTTCTCTTCTTCATGTTCATTAGGCCAGCAGGCAAGCTCCCGAAGGTCTTTTTGTTTTTTAAAGAGAAATAAGGTGAGTGAGAGAATCTTTTATTGGACCAGTGTACGTTGGTGAGAGAGACAAGCTTTTGAACTTACACAGAACTCTTCTTCAGGACTTTTTTCATTAGTCATTTAACATCCAGTTCAGTAACTTGACAGTATAAGTACTCAGATCACAGTTTACCTTGTGATTTTCCCCTCCTCCCCTATGCTGAAACCAATTAATACTTAATCAAGTGTCTTATCTTCCCTAGCACTAGGGATGAGATATCTAAGAAACAGTGTATAGTATCCTAATAACCCAGATCAGATTTGTTACATTATATTTGTTAAATCAGTGCTTGTTTTGCATGCCACAAGAACATAATCTGGATGTTCATTGCCAAATTTCCCTCTAGGGTTAGATTTGGAATATCTGCATTAGTTACCAGTGGAATTTTGAAAATGTGCTTGTCTGTGGTAATGAGGTGTCCTTTGCTAAACTGCAATTCTGACATACATTTATTTTCCAGTACACTAACACCATTGTAATATGGGGTTTTCCCAGGAGAATTCTGTAGGATGCTTGCTTTTGTGCACAGTTATTGAAAGATGGAAAAGGCGGTTTCAGTTTTACATGTTTTAGAAGATATAATTAGATATGCATAATGCTAGAATAAAATGAAAGTCTGAAGCAAACATAGGTACACATGACCTGTGGATAAATTTATGTTGCATAATTAGTAAGTCTGGAAAAAAAAATTATTACAAATCCCTGATTAGGCTGACCTTTTCATTATCCTGTTGGCTTGATGTCTGACCACCTGTACTTCACAAAAGATGTTTGGAAACTGAACTTATAATTCTTAAATGAAAAGCAATACTTTTAAGTGGAGACAAGTGAATTGTGATTTATGCTGGCTCCCTATGTACAGCTTTCAAAATTCTTAATTTCAAACACTTTAGTGATTGACAAGTAATAGGAAATTTTAAATTTTCCTGTTGCTCATTAATTATATTTGAATGGTCTGTTAACTTAGCTTATGTATTTCATGCATTTTCAAAGTCTGTTATGTGCTTCTGCACAAGTAATAAAATGACTCACATTTCAGAAAGAGACTCTTT